GTCTCCTGCCCTAAGATGCATTTAAAGTCTTATGTGCGCAAGATTCAACCATACACAACTGATCTGAAGCTTTGGATCCATTTCTTCCAAGAGAGCCTAGTAGGGACTCAACTTGAATGGTTCTATCAATTGGAAAGTTCTCGCATCCACACCTGGGAGGATCTAGCTGTTGATTTCTACAAGCAGTACCAATACAATGCTGATCTTGCACCAACTCGTGTGCAGTTGCAGAACATGACCATGGGTTCCAACAAGAGCTTCAAAGGATACGCCCAAAATAGAGAGATCTGGTTGGTAGGGTGCAGCCCCCTTTAACTGACAAAGAGCTGATTGACATCTTCATGGGAACTTTGATAGGACCTTTCTCCAATCACCTAATAAGGAGCTCCTCAGACGAGTTCCCCGAGATAATACTGACCGGTGAAAGGGTCAAAGGTGGCATTAAAAGTAGAAAGATCCAGAGGGGGGGGGGTTACACCCTCCGATGCTCAGAAAAATCCATACAATGGGAAGAAAGAGTCCAATGTTGTGTATGGTCAAAAGAGTCATAATGGCCAACATGTGGGGGCAGTCCTGATCTCCGGTTTTGCGTCACAGCGGCAACAAAAGGGAAATCAATGAAGGCCAGACGAGCCCAAAAGATAGTTTACCAACATCAACATGCCGTTGTCTCAAGCACTATGACACTTGTTGAAGATGAACCTGATTACATTGATAGGACCTCATCCAAACCCCAAAACTCCTTCTCCTAACTATAATCTTAATGCAACGTGTGCTTATCATTCCGGCAGTCCCGGGCATGATACTAACGATTGTTGGGCATTGAAGTACAAGATTCAAAATTTGATTGATGCCAAGGAGATCGAGTTTGACCCTCCAGAGACTCTAAACGTGATCACTTCTCCTATGTCGAATCATTGAGAGCATCTTGTTCATTGAATTTTCAATTGTAATTTCTTTTATTATTCAAACAATTATCTATTAATGTCAAACTTTGTTTCATTAATGAATTGCATATGTTTGTCTTGAATTCATCTATTCGTTTTCACTATATTTAAACTATGTTTTTACTCTCTTTATGACATTCAACTTTTGCTAAAATTTACAAGCCTTTAAAGGGAGGATGACGAAAACGATGCCATAATCTCATACAGTATGCTTTTGAACAGACCTTGTTGGCGATGTACAGACGTTCTTTCAAATCCAAAACACTGGAGCTATAAGGAAGATAATCCCTAATCAACCCCTTCGAGCCAAAGAAGTAGAAGTTTTCTTTTTACACAAATTGAAACCTTTAATCAAAACCTAGGGCAGGGTAGTCTCTCAGTTAATTCAAATGCGCGTTCAGTCACAAACTTTCACTTCGTATACAACGAGTGATATCAACAAGGGGGCACTTCTAATGACAAATCTCCTATCAACAAGGGGGCATGACATGTCACTATCCAGCACACTTGGGGCAGTCCAGTCAAGATTCTAAAAAATCTCTCAAAAAGTGCTGAATAACCAAGGGCAGGTCTCCATCTAAATCACTTGGGGCATTGAACGCAAATCCCAACAAAGGGTTACGTACAATCAATTAGTTCTTGGCAGTGCCACAAACACTTGCTACTGGGGACAGTGACAAATCTCTCCAAAATCCTTCTCATAAGATGACTCCCAGCCAGAGTTTAATCTCTGAAAACCTTTTCCCCAACTGAGTCGACCTCAAGAATCCTCGAGGATTTTCCCTAGTGAAGTCGCCACCTCTCCAACAGGCTGGTAACAGGGTTTATTTCCCCAACAAACGGCAGGATTCCCCAGCTTGAGTTTGCCTCTCCGACTACTATAAATCAAAGGATCACAACTACTCTTCCCCAGTAGACTACTCTACAATCTCCAACAAGTTACTGTGAAGCCTGAACCCGACCAGACATCAGTTCAACTTCGACTCCCCAGTAGAGCAACAGACAACTGAGGCTCCTGAACTCTTTTCCCCAAGCAGGAATCAATACTCTCCACAAGATTTTTCAATATTCCCTAGCGGAGTTCTCCTCAAAACAACAAAACAGAAATCCCCGGTGGAAACATTCTAAGCAAAGTTTGAAGATACCTACTCTTCAACAGCAATCCAGGACCTGATTGAACTCTTTTATAGGCACGCATTCAAACAAAATGAGAGGAGGTTGCTCAAAATAAGGGTTTAGGGTTCTCTTTCTTGAACGAAAACCCGATGATTTTCGCTCTTTTTTTCACCCATTCCACATAAGGAGCTTTGGCCACAACGATCTTTCTTTCCTATGGATTCCCTGTTCCTTTTACGAAAAGCCAAGACGGGATTATAATTGATACAACCCTGAGTACCCATGAGAGGAACATTTGAGAATGCACCACAACTGGTAATAATGTTTGGACCTTCGCCAGCGATATAATGTCATAAGAAGTGAGCGCAACCAGTCTCTTTGATCAGGGGAGAGTCCTCGGTATCAATGAACGACCCCTTTGTAGGGAGATGAAGCATGAGCCACATGTACAACATAGGTTGACAGATATTGACTAACCCTTTATTCTTGTATCTTGATTGAATGAGGTAATAAGTGTTCGCCAGCAATGTGGGTATCAGATTCTTATTCATGAAAACACATATAGCCGCTAAAAATATTAAAATTTTAAAATATAATTAAACTCTTTACAGGAATTATCCCATGGAAAACTAGGAGGTGGAGTTTTGAAGATGATAAAATTTCTTTTTGGAAAATATTTCAAAAAAAAAAAACAAATTCGGTGGTTTTCGTCTACCATCGCCACCATTAGTGTTTCACAGCGGAAGGCCATTATGCTATTTACCAAACAAACAAAAAACTTATAACGATCACTTGGTTTAATTTTTAAAAAATATACATAATAATTTCAATAAAAGGAATGACATCATCAAAACATTCTGCAAGTAGAAAAAGTTCATTACTTTTATAGAAATATGTAAGATTTATTGAAATTATTATATTTTAAAATAAAAAATTGAAACCCAGTGATCATTCTAATTTTTTTATTTGTTCGCTAAATAATAGCATAATGACGTTCCGCATGTGGGACCAGAGTTTAAATATATTTTAAAGACTTAATATTTTTATTACTATAACATTTTACCAAAAACGAATTTCATATAAGACCATGTGTAATGGTGTGTTTAATTGAACTCAACATGGCAAAATCATGTGCAATGGTGTGTTTAGAGTAGTGTTGAGTGTGTGTTGGAGGAGAGAGATGTTGAGAAAACTCAACACCATGTACACTGACGCATGGGCTGACGTGGCAGCGGCTGGTTGGCTGACCAGATTTTTATCCATTTAATACTTTGAACTCAATTATTTCGTTGCAAATTAATTCTTTTTTTTTTTTTTTACCAAAATTCATGATTTTTTTTTCTCTATAAATAGAGACTTGGTTCATTTGATTTGGACACAGAAAAAAAACTAAGTTTTTCACTATCTTAATTTTATTATTAGTGTTTATTTTGAAGTTAAGTGTCTTTTTTTAGTGAAATGGATCTCAATAAATTTAAATAAATTTTGTTTTTATTACAAAAAATTAAAAAATAAATTATTAAGTATTTATTATTTTAATTTAATTTTAATCGATAATTGTAATTTTATGTAATCATAAAAATAAAAATAAAATTTAAATAAGAATATGAAAATAAAAAGTGGTGGGGTAGGGTGTTGAGTGAAAAACCATTGGAAAGGGTAAAAGTTGAATGGGTGTTGAGTTATTAGGTGGAAGAAAGAGAAAATGACGTGGAGTGTTGGGAGTTGAAAAAGTGGGTGTTGAGTTTTTCAACCATTGTAAATGGTCTAAGTGGTTTTCGTCTACCATCGCCATTAAGGTTGTAGTGATTCGCATGAATGCTATTATTTATCAAACAAAAAACTTAGAACGATCACTTGGTTTCATTTTTTAAAAAAAAGATATAATAATTTCAATAAAAGGAACGAACTTTCTCTCTTGCCAAAATGTTTTGCGGATGGTTCTGCAAAATTGTCATTACTAAAGAAAAATATAAATATCTAAAATAAAGTAGAGATTTAAATTTATCAATTTGTATACCCAGGGAAGGTACATATTCCTCCGGCGATTTGTTTTTGAGCAAACATATATCTGAATCTGTAATATCCAGGGAAGCATTTTGCCATATATTTCGAAAATATATCTCCTGTAATATTCTCGAATGTATACTTAATTTATGTCAAGTTTCCAATTATTATCAATAATAAAAACTTTGAATATTATTGATAATAATTGAATACTAACTTTATACAAAAAGATATATATATATATATATATATATATATATATATATATATATATATATATATATATATATATATATATATATATATATATATATATATATATATATATATATATATATGTATATTGTTGTCTGCATAAATTTCGAAAATATATCTCCAGGAGCCATAAGGTTTTTGTATGATCAATATATCTAACAATCCATAATAAGAGTAAATTAACAATTCAAGAAATGTCTTTCGATTCAAAATTGAAACCTCTATTTGATAACCAATCACTTGTATTTCTTAACAAGTCACTTGAAATATGAAACATGTAAATATCACTACTTCACTGATACATTAACCGAGTATTACCCAATAGACCAAATCAACAGCTCAATCATTTGAGATCCAATAGTCTGCAAAGAAGAAAAATCCTATACTATATATACAAGGATGCAAATGCATAACTGCAAAATCAAATTAGGTAGAAACACTAACACCTATAAAAAGACAACTACATGATACAAATTATCAAAAGCCAAAATTATGATATTATACAGTCAAATTTCACAACCCATGATATGATGTTACTATTTACCACTCTTGATATTCATCCAGCACCTCAAAATGGAAACGTTTTAGCTGTGTTTAGAAGTGATGGCAACTTCAATTCAACACCTACTACAAGCCGAGTATATTTATAAGCCTGCCAAAAATGATGTGTGACTACTATTTCTTAGTATCATTTTCTACTTCCATGTATTCGCCAGTTACCCTGTGAAAGAAAATTTGTTACCACCACATATTACAATAAACAATCACAGGCTTGATTGTTTCAAAAAAAGAGCCTCGATAATCACTCATACACTTAATTCAAAGTTTCAACATAAACAAAATAAAAAACGAAATGTATTCTACAAAACATAAATGAATACCATGCAGCACAATAATCAAGGGCAAGAGTCTTCATACCTGTTATACAACAAATCGGCATCACCTATTGTCCCTGCAACCTTATTCCGTACCTTACGAACACACACCTGAAGCAACAAGTCAGGAAAAGCTTATCATTTTTAATAAATTAAAATGATAAATGATAGCCAAAATATAAACAGTGATGCTACAAACACTCGCCTTCACTTGATCAATAGGCCCAACCTCGGGATCACGGTTACGATGGATGACAATTCCATTATCACACTTATTTATAAAGTGTGCACTTCCACTAATATCATAAAGATTAGGAGGACTCCCAGTCCAATTTTGCAGCTATCAGATGAGAAGCAAGAAAATCAAGATAACAAATTTTTAAAAGTAATACAGCAATAGACAAACTGAAATCGTATTTACCAACCTGTCTGGGATGTGCTACAAACCAAACATGACATCCATGATGTTGGGCAAAACGTTTGATTAAGGTAAGCATCTGGCTCACATATTCAGTTTCCGTCCTGCAGGTTTCAAGCGACAAAATCTATGAAACTTGTTTTCTGTGAAGCACAGACACAGACACCACACATAACATTGACACATCCACACCGACAACAAGTTGAAAAAATGAATTCATTGAATGTGAATCACATGTGCCGGTGTCGTATTGGTGTCGGACCCCAACACACCTTCGATCAAAAGTGACGCTGCTACAGAGCTTGTTTTGTGGTAACCAAGATGCATTGCATATTTTCATCAATCTACATTTTTACTAGTAAACAAATCACACAAGGTTTATTTCCATCTTATGAGAATATTCTTTCTAAGGACGTCATGTGGAATATATGACTCATGCTCCTTTAGGTTCTTTAAACTCCGTGGGTGCCGTAGCTATAGAAATTAATGCAGTCAATTATGTCTCTCCTACAAGTTGGTTAGCTACTTCAGTTGTCTAGTGTGGAATCTCAACAAATACCTCTCACATCAAGAATCAGATATCTAGTGAGATATTTGACACATTGGACATTTGTAGGACTACACTAGACCTAAAAATACTCTAATATGATCTTTGAATTTGGACTAGGTCTAACATTACACCAAGTCAGCATAAAAAGTAAGGATTGCTTAGACTTTGTATTGATTAGTTTGGCCACATCTTAATTAATATGGGATTTCAACAAAGTATAATACATATTTAACAAGCTTGATTTATATATATTATTATGCATCAGTTTGAAGGGGAGAATCGGTGTAATAGAAGATAATCCTTATTTCATATCCCTACTATTTGGGAGTGTTATATTTCATTGAGGATTTCAATTTTAATGAAAGTTGAATTGTAATCCTTTTATACAAATTCATAGTAGCTGAGAGGAATCCCCTCGACAATTTCAAGTATGCTGAAGAGTATGACATAACAAGCAAAATAAAATCAAAGTTAAGAATGAAATTTGTAAAGAGAATTACTGGTGTGGAGATCGTTGATGATCAAGCTCGTTATAAGGATCAATTACAAGTCCACGCACCCCATGTCTTAATACCGCTGCTTTTGCAAGGTCAAGAACCCATTTTATATTTGGAAGAGCATCATCCTCACACCTAGTATGAGTAGTTAGATTTAAAATTAAAATGTACAATTTTAATCAAATCAATTTCTGATAGGTAATAGATAGTCTCAATAAGCATTGCTTAATGCAATAAATTTTGACATAGCCTACTTTTAAGTCACAGTATCAAAAAATTTAGAAGATTTTTGCTTATAAATAAGGTCCGAGGGAGTACCTTATAAGATGAAAAGTATCATTTAACCAGAGCTTGCCTTGTTCATATTCCTCCAAACTCATCCGCTCAACATCTTCCGCGTAGCTATTTTAGATAAACAAGTGAACATAGACAATCAAATAATTGTACATAATAACAATTACAACAATTGTAATTGAACAGTCAAAAGTACACTTGCAAGGTTATGAATTAGAAAATGGAGGATAGCACAACCACTAAATAGTAGTTTATCATAACTTAAGTAACAAAAGTTCATTATAATCCCTGATGAGAAAACTCAAACAACAATTATTTCACTAGGTTAGAAGGACCCAAATAAATTTTTCTTCAGTAGAAAAACCTCCTTTTGATAGATAGGAGTAGACATCCAGCACTCAAATTACGAAGAAAAAAATTCCCGACAAAAATAATGAGTGATAATATGGTACAAAAGTCATACAGTTCAAATCTTACCGGTCAGTAAAGAAAGGCTTCCTCACATGTTTCTCCAAAAGCTTTCGAGCATGTTCTCTAACCTAAGTAAAAAAGAATCAAAACAAGAGCACAAAACCCAAAAATATGTGAGAGGCAATGATTCAAAAATAACTGTAACAAAAGTCATTAATTGTTTGCATAACAATATGAAATGACTAAACACGATGGAAGACGATTCTAATTTAACTCTGTTCAACCTACAACAACTGACAGTAAATCAGATCCTTAAGAATACAAGTAGCCAAATCAACACTGAAATACACAACATTCTCTGTTGAAGGTTGGTTTAACGGATAAACTATGGAACACATACACAAGATATATATAAGGGTATATTATATATACATATTACAAATTACAATACATATATCTTTCACTAAGCAAGCCTCAAACATATTGTGTTCCAGTTAGAAATTACAAGAGACACTTTCTTTGGGTGAATAAGATAAATTTAAAAGTTGGCCAAAACTATCTACTGACCTTGTTCTCCATGGAACATAGTGCAAATTTCCAGCCAGCAATTTGATTAAGATTGCAAAGAAGAGCATCAATCCACTCACTCTTCCCTGAATTGGGAATTCCAGTTACTATGGTCAGTTCTCCTGGTACAACCTGGAGAAAGTAATTTAATTAGAAAAAAAATTCCAGAATAATTTTGATAAAATCATTCAAAATTCAAATAGATCAAATCACATGTCCCCTACCTAGTGGGAATAAAGCTTGGTAGTTTATACTTGACGGTAGATGAAATCATTAAAATGACACGGCCAAAAACAAATTTTAATAACAAACAATTTCCAAAAGTTTAATTTTTTAAAAATTCAAGACATCGTGTGTTAAAAAAAAAGGCAAGGAACTGAAATGTAATTTACAATTAAAAGCACATATGATATAATATCCTGCGGAATACAAGCTTGAAATCAAATTACAATTAAATCCAATCACAATTCATAACACATAACACCTTTGACATGTAGTGAATTCACTAAGCGTTCAGAATGACATTTTATCCAGTTTGTAGACAGTTGAAAGAATGTTTTCCTACTTCAAAATCAGTGCATACAAAAGGTTGACATGAATTGACAGATTCACAGGTCTACTTATACAAAAGCTTCAAGTTCAAGTAATAGTAGGATTCAAAAATAAGCTTTATAGAGCCAGTTCATGTCCAATATCCTGAGTTAATTTAGCCGGTGGGCTTTGAGTCCTACAGGGTATTTGGTACAAACCAATGGAACCTTAACCGAAACAATAGATATTGCAGAGCAAGAAAAGGGAAAAAAAACATATGCAACCTTAGATAAATAATACTTTATTGATGATAGACCAATATAATACTAGTAGTAAGAGGGTTTCTCTAACTACTCCCAGTGCAAAGCTCCAACCCAGAGAGGAATCCTACTCTGGCCCTAGTAGCAAACTATTCCATCATACTCTTAAACTACTAAGAATTTCCTTATATATAAATAAAGAGAACATCCCATTATTTAACCCTAATGGGCAATCTATTTATTACCCTACTTAGCCACCTGAGTAATAATCATTTTCGCATTACTTTCACAAACTCACTATGTACCTAGACAACTTATGTGCTAACTGTGTCTTCGAGTCCACCTTCTCATCCCGGATCCTATCAGTATTTAAAAGCATAACAAAAGTAGGGGTTCTGGTCGATAATAATAAGCTAAAAGTTTTAGTTGGAAAAAATATAGGAAGATATGGACGAAAATGGTAATGCCATAGTAGTTAGTCATTTTAAATATAGAAGCAAAAAATAAGGAGAACGCCACTCATTATCCTACTTTTCATTTAGTAAATAACTGTTTGAAGCTCTATACCGTGCATTTAAGCTAGCATTACACAAACATGAAATTTAAGATTCTGAACCAATTTAGAATCTAATCAGAATTGAAATTAAAATTCAGTGTTCATTTCCAACTACAATTTACAACAGTAGTATGAAATTTAAGATTCTGAACCAATTTAGAATCTAATCAGAATTGAAATTAAAATTCAGTGTTCACTTCCAACTACAATTTACAACAGTAGTATGATAGTAAGGAGATGTAGAAATTAAATAAACGGCCCTTACATTGTATAGACCATTCAGATTATTCCAGCCAGTTGAGAGACCAATGTCATATCCCAGAGTTCGATGATAATATGCGTCAAGCTCATCAAAGTAATCTCTGAAGTTAAACAATCCACGTATAGGGTATAATTCTGCCTTCTCAATCGCTTCCTTCAATGCATCGGGGCCCAAATACATGAGAACCTGTGAAATATATTACAAGGTTGCTACAGTTGTCAAAAAGCAAAATTACAAACAACATCTTCAAATGGCATGCATCAGAAACGTAAATGTATAAGCCTAATTCTAACTTCAAGTCTGCATTCCAATGTTTCAACATCCACCCTATAATCCACATTAACAAGCCAAGTAAATAATAAATTCACAAATCATGCATGAACAATTGAAAACACAAAGCAGGTAAGGAAGAGTAACCAACACAATTATGTCTGTTACATTCATTTTCATTGTCAGTTGATATTGTACTCTGTATAAAGTCTAAACTCTAGAGACAAGTTTCACATGCCTTTTCATTTTTATATTTTGGGGATTTCAGATTTGTAGGGTGGGGGTTCAGAGGAAGGGTGCAGGTAAAGTAGAACTTGGGCAATCATGATGAAATCTAACCTCATTAGCATCTTTGCAATCATCAAGCTTCCCTTTTTTAGGCCACCGTACACGCCAGCATCTGCAAATAAACAAAACAGAAATGTTACTAGTCATTAAAACAGTATAATCAACAGAGAATGATAAACTCACATAAAGGGGGGACTAATTCCTTCCATCAATAAAAATAAATGAATAAAATAAACTAATGACAAAGAATAGTGGAAGCACCCATTCTATCATATAACCATGAATCAAAAGAATGCCAAAACTAGACAATCCGACAATTATCATAGTATAAAAGATTTATAGGGACACCTTTTAGCTTAAAAAGCAATTGTTGGAACTAAACACACAAGCAACTCGAAAGTAGTTCATCTTTACAAAAAATGAAAACTAATCCCAAAACAATGAAATCATCTGTGCTAATGAAAGCATAAGTACAAGGATGGTCTAAAATAGTTGTTTGAAAATTTATGGAAGCGATTATATCAAGATATAAACATGCTAACTTTTCTTTCCCAATGCGGCGTGCAAGCTCCTCAGCCAAGGCTTGACCAGGTGGATCCCCATCAGTGGCAATGATTATCCGGGATGCCTGCCAATATAAACATAGAGAAAAATGAGAGATGATTATAAAAACTGTTTTTACCAGTACATACAACATAGTGGAATAACAACAATTGCATTGCAGACCTGCTTTATTTCATCTTTGCAGTTCCATAGATACTGATACTTCGTGTCCTAGCTTTACAGAATTATAATTATGACAAGAGCATCAGATCTTAACATTGCACAACAAATCATAGTATACTCAAACAAGGTGTAAGTGAAAAATAAGAAAATATTATTGAATTTAAATTTATATATATTATGTGTCCAGCATGTTGAGCATAAAAAAGACCTTATCCTCAGGTGGCAAGTCCTTTGAAGAGACTGATGGAGGTGCGCCGTCAGGAACACTAACACAATTTCGGAAGCCAGCTTCTTCCATTGCCAGCTTGTCCATTTCACCTTCAACCTAAAGTACAGAGTCAAAATACTAAGAATAAAACAAAACTCCAACCTTATAATTTGTGCAGTAGACGGAATGCTTACAATGATAACATCACTTTCCCCAACTATGTCATCCAATCCATAAAAGATCTTTTCAGTGTCTGATTCCTGAAAGAAGAAAAAAGAATGAGGGGAAAAAGATGTAAAATAGTTGTAAAAACAGAAGATATTGAGAGTAAAAACAATATGACAATATCTTCAAGCATAATAAAGTTAAACAACATAAATTATGGGATCGAATAATTGAGTGAGATTAAGACTAAAGTCTCACATGTCAGCAAAACAGTTTGGTTTTATATCAAATGAGATAACCATTGGAAACAATATACATTTAGTGAAATTTGATGGAGAGGTACTAGAGGAAACAAAAATATCCAATGGTTTTCTTTTATTTGAAAAGGGCATATGATAAAGTGCCATGAAAAGACATGTAGGCTCTAGATAATAAGGGGGTTCTTGTTGCATATCAAGGATATTTGTGGGCTCAAATTAACATGGCAATATTCAATCAAGCTGTGGAGGAGTTTTCAATGAATATATGCACACAAATAGTCAACTAGCCCTTATCTTTTCATGGATTTAGACAAATGCTTATCGAGCATATCTCGTAGCTGTTGTTAACATAACGGAGTCCTCGAAAGAGAGTTGATGGAGGGAATATATGTGAAACTAGAGCTGTGAAGGGAATCTTTTAAATCATATGCTCGCCTTCAATAAAGTAAAAATAAAATAGATATACAAATGCTAATTCATCTTTTTTACGGTAATTAAATATCACATATTAACTTGAATACTCAATTCAATTATGGACAGTATCAGCAATTGCTTATACCTGCCAAAATTTCTTGTTGATATCTCGGTACTTGCAACTAATAAGCGCTCCATTACGACGATAGGGGAATGCAATAGCAATCTACAAAATAAATATAGAGAAAACAATTATAACACGGGTGAGTTACTCATAAAATAAAGGAGTGAGCATAAAATGGGTATATTTAAAATCTTCAATGTCTCATCTTCGTTAAATTGAAATCAGGGAAAAATAATGCCAAATGGATCAATAAAACCACATTTTTCAATTGAGTACTAACCAGTAAAGTCCTTATTGTTTAATATTGGCATTTTATCAGCTTTTAGGTGGTATAACCAGTATCAGTCATATTACCAAATTCAAAATTATTACACATCTGCCGTGGAACATTTTCTAGTAAAATAAGTGTCGAATGTTTGCTCTTGGGTATCTCTTTCAACAAAAGAAATCAACTAATAAAAAATAAGGAATATAGAGGAACTAATAAAACATGGAAGATACATGTTCATATAAAGAATATTATATTCTTTAATTTGATTATCACCACCAATCAACTAACTAAAAATAAGGAATATAGAGGAACTAATGGAAGATTTGTGTTCATATAGAGAATATTATATTTTTATTTCGATTATCATCAATCATATGTACAATTTATTTTGACGATAACCGTACCAGCTAGCTTACCTAGATCGCTAAATGGATTATTGCCATCTTAAAATGTAACTTTCTATGCAACTCAAATAAAGCACAAATTTTTAGTAATTAAGTGCACCTGATCATCCTTATATTTTTTCTGCTTGACACCGTTCCTCTTCAGAGTCTTATTTGAAATCAAGCGCTCTGAAAAATATCCGACCAGCTGAAATAGGGCAAACAAAGTTGTATTCACTATATTGCTTGAAATGAACAAATAAATTATCAAATTTATTACAAATTACAAATAAAATTGAAACTCTACATGGTGAGTATAAAATATTAAAATATATTAAAGCAAGATATACATCAGACATCAACTCTATTCAGTAAATGCTTGTCTGAAAAGTGATCAAATGCCCCACAGATTTGAGTTTGTCATTTTACTTTAGTAATGCATGTTTAAGTCTGCATGCATGTATCCAAAACAAACTGGTCACGACTAAATACAAATGACTCTGATTACCAAAAGAAACTTAATAAAATATTTCTAAGTCATCAGCAAGGAGGGTGGGAGTTAGTCCCCTTGAAAAGAAACCTTTATTTCTTGTAACAGAATCATATGCATACAGATGTACGAAATAAGATAAGATATTGAGAAATTGACGACAGATTTTCTCAGGAGCAATATCTTACCCAGATAGCAATGGCAGAGCACAGCCATAGTTTTGAAGAAAAAAAACATGGACAAAATTAAGTATGGTAAAATCTATTACCTCTGTACAAAGTGGTTCTAGCTGCAAGTCGTCCTCCTTAATTTCTCTTTTTTTCTTAGCTGGGATAAATTGAGTCATTGCCGTAGAATATGGATTTCTACCAGCAAAGGCCTACAACAGAAAGTTGAAAATTGAAGTGACTAACACTGAGACATCCCATTGTATTAAGCAGTGCCCATGCAAAATAGTTTTTTTTTTAAATATCTAACCTGAGTGCTGCCTTTCCAACCACACTTTGCGCGAAAACACTTCCATGCAGCGGACCCCCTAGGCTCAAAAATTATGTTATTAAACCAAAGTGGAATCAAGATCACTAACAAATAGAACTAGACAAGTCAATGAAAAAAGGTAAGTAAGATACCCATCCGGTGCAATGATAACGGCGAAGGTCCTTTCTCCCGTTTCACCGCCTTGGCACTAACAGAAAACAATATTAAAAGGGACGTACAAGAACGAAAACAGATAAACTATTTGAATTGCATTGCAAATTTGCAATGTATGAAATTGGATCCATGCAGCGAGACACATTCCAAAGGGTTGTTTGTAATTTGTAACAAATAAATAATAACAATACACACTCTTCAAATCAAAATTCAGGGACTGACATTTTGACAGCATAACCCACTCCCTCTACTCAATTCCAAACTTGAAACATAACAATTGACAAAGACACAAATATCGGTCTTCATGTCAATACATAAACTAAAGCATACTACAATTTTGTCTTTAGATGAAAAAATTCAGACCAGAGGGAAAAACAACAAAAAGTAAAATTGAGGACAGTCATCATCATGCGAAGGAGTAGATACTTCATAAACTTCAAACCAACTTCATTTGGTAATCTGAGTTTACAAAAAACAACCCTCACATTCCTTCCGTTTCAAATTGGTTAGCAAATGTCTTCAACTTCAACTGAAACCATATTCAATTTTGCTATACAAGCACTCAAAGTTATTATTAGTTATCGCGCTAAGTTTAACAGAACCGCATAACTTTACAAAGCATATAAAAAAATACTACCCTTTTGCATAGAACAATAAAAAAAATAGAAAGAGGGTGATGATAAAAGAAGAAAGAAAAACCTCAGGACAAAGCAAGTGATTATATTGATGGCCAGGAACACAAATTTCAGCATCCATTCCAATAACCTCCAACTTCCTCTTCAAAGCATCAATATTCGCATCCAACACACTCTCATCCAAACAAACTTTTCCAAATCAAAAAAAAAAAAAAATCAATAAAAAATCATTAAATAACATATGAACATTCAAAGTTCTTGTGTCCCGTGAACCTTACCTGGTCTAGTAGCCTTAACAATGGAGGTAGAATGGTAGCCATTGATTTTAAGCGGCGACGGAGGGTATTTGGAAGTGGCCTTAGAACAAAAAACGGTGAAAAAAGGTCTTTTAGGTTGAAAAAAGTGGTGCGTGTGAAAGAGGGGTTTTATGAGGTTTGGGAATGGAGTTGAATTGGAGAGGGCTTGAGCGTTCATAGTGGAGAGTTTTGAAGGGAAGGTTACAGCGTGAGGATAACGAAAACGCATGTTCTGTGAAATACAGAAGAATGAAGAAGAAGAAGAAGAAAATGCTAGTGTAGTGAAGAGGGTGCCATGAAAAGGTGCAAGCGTGAAAGGGTTTATGTTGACGACAAAAACCTTGAGATAAATAAGAACCGTTAGATTTAATGAGTAATTAAATTTTTTTTTAATATTATTCACATAAAAATGACAAATATTTAATAGTTGAAATCGTATGAAAAAATTATTTATTCTTTTAACATAATTAAAAAATAGAAGAAAAAAAATTGTAAAGTGTAAAAATGAGTGTCCTTGTATTTTGGTATAAACAAAATTAATTCATATACTAATTTTTTATAACCTAATTGATCTTGTAAGAATATAGTTTAAAATAATAATTAATAATTTAAAATAATAACTCTTATTTTTTAAATTTAAAATTAGACATTTAAAAATTTTAAATCTACATTTGATATGTGATGTCTTTTATTTAATTTTATTCTTTGACTTAATTATGTAATGTCCATTTCATCCAAAAATATTGATAAATAGTTAAAGATACAAACTATAACAATAAATGATAATAAATAAATTAAAATAAAATATCAGTGAGAAAATAGAAACAAACAATAGAAGAAGAAAAAACTATCCTCAAATTTTGACTTTAAAATTCTTTAAGAGATATATATATAAGACAAATGACCACTATTTATCACTATATAAAAATAGAAGTTTGATCATGATGAGGTAGAGCATGCAAATTTCTGATTTATTAAAAATTATGTTTTATAATTTTGGAAATGTGTCTTCAAAATATATTAATATGGAAAAGTGACAAGTTTTCAAATTCACGCTTCACAATCATAAAAACGTACTTCTGAAATTTTCACTGAATTGTTAAATTAAAAATAAATTAATAAGGTGAGTCTGAAAATTCATCTCCAAAAAAATATTTTAAAAAAAAAATTGGGTGACACTCATTTGAAACGTGTTTCAATGAGACTCGAGATGTGTTTGAAACTGCACTTTTGAAATTTGGAAAGCATTTTTGAATTTTTATGTGGTATTTTTCTATCATTTAGGGTGTGATAAACAATTCTTTTATTATTTTTAGGTAAATAGTGGAGGAGATTAAGCAGATTCTTTTTTGATAAATTTTAGATACGATGAATTTAAGTTGGATATTAATACCTTGAGTGTAAATTATTTTAAAATTTTAATTTATTTTAAAATAAAATAAAAAGTGACATGGCATTGAATTGTATTGTTTGATTGGTTAAAGATATTGTGACTCAACTAAATTCTAGGGTATCAGAGTATTCACCTTCTATTTTTGTGGTGTATGCTGTATGGGTGGTTGTTTTTATTGTGTAGTTAAATGTTTGTTTTTAATTAGTTCTGTTATGTATTGTGTGCTCTCATTTAGAAGGGATGTGCTAATTTTTACATTATTGTTTTGTCTAAAAAATATTCAAATAGAGAGTTTGTTATTATAACATGATTGACTAATTTTCATATGTCTTGACTTGTTGTGAGACATCTTGTTTCTGATTGACTCTTATACGCACACACTTTATGTGATTTGAATTGCTTTAGCATTTATTCAAGATTTGTTTTTGTTTTACCTCTTTTAGAAGTTTGCAAAGTTTGCATTTGAAAGAAGTGTTTTAAATCAAGTCACTTTGAAGAAGATTTTATTAACTCGGTATTTGAAGAAGATTTTGGTTGTATATGATTTAATTAAAATGGTTTAAAGAAGATTTTATTAAGTAAGTTTGAAGAAGATCTTGTTGGATCGCTTTTATTATTTAAGGAGATGGTTCTCCTTGATTGAAAACCCCTTGTGTTTTAAAGAATTACTTGAGCGTTTATTTTTGTCTAGTGAAGTCTTTTGTGTTTATTTGTGCAATACACCATCTTGAAAGTCTTTCTTATTTTAGAAGGATGAAGTACCTGGTCTGTAAATATGATTTTAATCACTCCACATATGATTATTTTCTTGTAAACACTTGGGGAGTGTTTGAGTAAAAGCGAATGATTCTCTGATTCACAGTGAGATTGAGTTGAAATTCACATGTAGTATTAGGAAAATGTCATTGAACTAAGAGGGTTCAGGTGAGTCTTTCGTATACCTCTAATTACTTGAATCAGTGAATTTCTTTTTATTGGGTTACACTTCTTCATATGTAGGTGATGTTGCACGAAACTGGGTTACCAATTATCTGTGTTATTTATCTTATTTATTTGCTTACCATACTTTTCATATTATGTTGTCTCACATATTGTCACAACATTGTGTGTGAAATCTTGTAGCTAATCGAATAGAATTTCAATTGGCATCAGAGCAAGCATCATGTTCTAGTTCGGTGAACTCAAAGGTTTTTAATTTATTTTATTCAAGATGGACAATGCCAGAGAAGGAGAATTTATTAATTGTCCACCAATTCTTAATGGTACTAATTATGATTATTGGAATGCTTGTACGTTTGCTTTTCTTAAGTCCATGGACACCAAGACCTGTAAAGTAGTCACCAATTGACAGACTCCACCAAAGATCATAGTTGAAGACAATTTTGAAATTGTGAAGCCCGACAACTTTGAACACTTGTTGAAGATGAAGTTGTGTTTGGAAACTCTTGTGCTCTTAATGTTGTTTATGATGGAGTCGACAAAAATATCTTCAGAATCGTGAATATGTGCATTAGTTTAAGGAGGCTTGGGAAACTCTTGAATTTGTTCATAAAAGTACATTCAATGTTCGTCTCTATCACATTGTTAAGAATTTCTTGGTTTTTGGTGAAAAGATGTCTGAATAAAATCTTGTAAGAAAAACCTAAGATTTATGTCCAAGAGGTTTGACATCAAGGTTACAATCATTGAAGAAGCTCAAAATGTTTCAATGATGAAGCTGAAAAATTGATGACAGATCCTAGAAAAAGAGTAAGGGTGTGGCATTCAAAGTGGATACTGAAGATCGTGATTGTAGCGGTTGAAATATTGAGACTAAACCATTAGATCCACTTAAATCGCACAAATCAAATAAAAATCACCACCGCACTTTATTGTTTCCAAAGAAAATGGGAAAAGAGCGAATAAACTCAAAAAAAGAAGGGGGAGAATCTAGGTACGGGGGTTGGTTATGCAAAGAGAAGATATTAGTACCCTAAAGATTTACGGTACTCTACAGAAACCTCTTTGAAGATTTGTGTATTTTAACTACATATGTGTGTTGGTTAATTTTAAGAGAAGAGACATCATTGTCATATCCGAGTGAAAAACATACTTACTACCAACAATCATGAGAAAATGAGAATTTGTATCATCTCAAAATGGAGGATATAGCTTGGATTTTAAAATCAAACAAAGCCTCACTCAACATCCAAGTGGAAAATATCTCACTTTACTACATATCGTAGAAGTATAGTAGCTCGCATCACTACAAGAATCAACAAGAGTCTAATATTTTGAGAAAAAAGTTTTTAAAGTAAAAAGCCAAAGTGACAAAATGGTTTGAATGATGTTAATTGACTTTTATTCTTGAGAAAAAGATTAAAGTATGGTTAAATTGATTAGTATTTGATTAAGAAAAGATTTTTGAAAATGCACAGACCTTAGTCCAAGTTTATTATGAAAGCGATTCAAGTTAGAAAACAATAAGAGTTTTGAAAAGGAGGGAGAAGATTTTTGATATTAAAGAAGATAGGAAGGAGATGAAGGGACTATCCTAAAGCATAATGAATAAGCTAAGAAAAATAATGATCTAACCAACAAGAAGCCAACACTTGACATAAGAAGTCAATGTAGAATTCTCATCCTTTAGATTAAAACCAAGCAATCAAAGATACTAAACCTTTGAGAAATACCGAGCTACAAATGGATTAAATCTTCACAAAAATTGGACAGAATAGCGACTATATACATAGGAATTATCAATCATAGACAAAGCATATAATCAGAATAACTTGCACACAAAGAAAATCAACCCAATATCTTGGAGTAAACCCCAAGAACTTCAGACAATATAACAACAGAGTAACAAGGTCCCCAAGTATCAATGCTTCTAATCTTAAGTCTGAGAGATCCACAAATCCACAATGCCAAGAATAATAACCAAGTAGTCCAAGTAACCTTAAAGTTTTTTTAGTGTTCAAGTTGATTATTATGTGTCTTTAAAAATATAAATAAATAAAGCTCAAATGATCAAAGATAAAATGGCATAACGATAAATGTTCAAATGAGCAAAAGAAAAATGGCATGGAATGTAAATGCTAAAATAAGTGGTGCATAAAAGTAAAGGCACAAAAAATAAAATTATAAAGTAAAGTTAATTGTTAGTGAATTAGAAGTTAGAAAGTTAGTTGAATGACCATCTTGAAGCTTACATTTGAAAACTCATTAGAAGATTGATAAAATCAAAGCTTCTCAACAATAAGTCTCATTTGCTTTTTGTCAAGTATATCATTCATTTCAAATGCTCAAAGCAACCACATATGATCAACGATGTTCAAATGATTCACTTAAACCAAAATTTATGAAATTCATTTGAGGATTGATAGAACCAAAGCCTCTTAAAAATGAACTTAAAAGTTATTGGACCAAAGGTTTCAAATTAAATATACTTGAGTTTACAAACATAGATTTGAGCCATGAATGATCATTTTTCGAATCAGGACAAATTTAGCGTTATGTTAAGCAATCGTAAGTGGACTTATGTAGAAGTCGCACCTATTTTGAGGTCGATCAATAGTAATCTATGTACCAATATATTAGAGAAATGATATATAGATTGTTCTCCAAAAACATGTAGCAAAAGTAAAAATAAGAAAGGGATAAGATGAAGAGAGCGAGGGTGTATCAGATGAAATTAAAGTTTCAAATATCATCAACATCATTCATCCATTTTGGTGGATTTAGTTTTTCAACCTATCTAAACCCAAGATCCAATGAGGTTGAGGAACTTGTCCCAAAAATAAAACTCAAACCAGGACCAAACAAAAATAATAAAATATATTTATTTAATAAAATAA